AGCATGACGTCATATGGTATGGAATAGTCCTTGACCAGTGTGAGCGCCACTTAGCACCTATTTAGCAACAGCTTAGCGCTACTTAGCAAGAACCAAAGCATCAGTGTATCATCGACATTGTTCTCATCCTAAACCCAAAACACAGCCCCATACCGGCTACCAAGACGAAAGTTAACTCTATCCCAGCTGAAACCAGGACAGCAGGTTTTAGGAGAGTGGACATTGCCTTAATCAGCAATGCTTTCCAAAGATACTACAAACCAGTGTGTGAATAAGAAGTTCAGCTTATAAACACAACACATCGAGATGCCATTACTATTGCATCTGCTTACTCTGAGTAGTGGGACACATCACAGCCCTGCTGCAATGTGGCTTTGAATCTTTCCTATCTCTGAAATGTTACTGCCTTGATCAGTGGATGGGCTGTCTGGTGTTTAAACTTGTCTTTGCTGTAGCTGTGGTGTCTCTTCTCTGTCCTGTGGCACACTGAAGTGGGGTGAACAAGTTCATTTTTATGGCTGCAGTTATAGTGTCCTTACTTGCCCATTGTGAGTTTGGGTTGGACTCTTAGGAGGCTGGTTACTCCTGCAGGAACAATCAGTGGCTGTCAGACGCTTCCCCAAGAGTGCTGCCCACTCTCCATGGGATGCTCTGGGGGTAGTGCTGGTTCAGCTGCAGCTCTGCACTTTGTGTGCAGGCTTTGCCTTTCATACTAAAATTAATAACAAGTCTAAGTGAGCTGTGTCCTCCCTTCTGTGCAACATTGAAGGCATTTATCTAGGTCTCAAGGTTAACAAGAATTAACACCAAGTATGTCCTTCAGTGAAAACTTCTGTTTTTTCTGAGTTTTGGTGATGGTTTTTGTTCCCACTTTTGTTTGAAGCTCTGATTCTGACTCTGAGGAGGAGCCAATTACAGAGGAGGAACTGGCCAAGCTGAAAGAAGAGGTAGAAGAAAAAAAGAAACTAATTGCCACGCTGCGAAACAAGCCATGGAAGATGAAAAAGAAGTTGTCTGTCCTGAAGTATGGTTTGATTTCCATAGTGAATATATGCCATCCTGTTTTGCACTTTGCACTTTGCACTGTTTTTCTGAACTTTCACTTTATTTCTAGACCTATGGATACAATTAACTTCAAATGATCTCTCTTTCACAGGACGTGCTTTCACAGGAAGTGGAGGTAAATGGCATTGCAGATCAGTGCTTTCTTGTCTCTGTAGAACTGAAATCAAATATGAAAAACTCAAATCTTTTTCTTTTTTAAGTTTCCATTACACCCCCCTGCAAAATCTTTAATTTTCTTCAGTTAGGTTAATGTTGGTAAATTCTTCCATTGGTAAGTTTAATATCTCATTTAAGAAAAATTATGCAATTTCAGGAATACCTCAAGATTACTGGGGTGGGAAGAGAGGATTTAACTTTCTATTCTAACTTTTTGGAAAGAAACTCAGATTTTTTTTTTAACTTATGAAAAAGCAAACTGATTGGAAACTGAGCTCATGTTTTCATGCATTTTCATGCATATTTTGCAATAATTAAATACAAAGCAAGTGATACACGATACAATTGCTCACCACCCACCGACTGATGCCCAGCCTGTCCCCGAGCAGCGATTGCTGCCCACTGGCCAGCTCCCCCAGTTTATATACTGAGCATGACGCCATATGGTATGGAATAGCCCTTTGGCCAGTCTGGGTCACCTGTCCTGGCTGTGCCCCCTCCCAACTTCTTGTGCACCTGGCAGAGCATGGGAAGCTGAAAATTCCCTGACTAGTGTAAGCACTACTTAGCAACAACTAAAACATCACTGTGTTATCAAGATTATTCTCATCCTAAATCCAAAACACAGCACTATACCAGCTAGTAGGAAGAAAATTAACTCTATCCCAGCTGAAACCAGGACAAGATGTAAAGTGGAAACATTTGAAGGTTAGAGAAATTTCAGAAAAAAGTAGATAAGCATATTCGATAATCAGATAGCAATTACTTTATTTTGCATAGTCTATAATTGAAGGATCCCCAGGCATATAAAGTTAAAATTCATTGTATTCTCGCTATGAACAGAGCTTCTATTTTTATAGCCATTCTTCTACCCCAGCATTCCTAGCAATTCCTAGTTCCTAGGAAACTTTCTAGCCTGGTACAGCCCTCAGACTATTACCCATTATTGCTCTTTCTTGTGGATGGCATTGAAGTTGCAACACGTAGTCCAAGGGTGATCAAAAGAGACTTCTGGGCTTTGGGATGGTTGGTAAGGGAAGCTGGAACAGAGGGGATTTTTTCCTCTGGCCTTCCCGTTGCAGGCAGCGATACTGGAAGAAACAGATGGATCCAGTGTATTAATACATGGCTCCATGGCTGGTGTCACGGACAGAATTTTGGATTTTTCAGTAAAGGGATAGTCTACATGGCACAAGGCCTGCTGGTATTGGATGGGATTCTTTTCTCTCAATGGGAGAAAAGTGTCTTTGCTCATGAGCTAGAGGGACTGACTGACAGAGCTTTAAACTAGACTTGAAGGGACAACAGGATACCATCAGGTTCACCCATGACAAGCCATGGGACAAAGCATGAAGGTTTGAGGGACAGGGTACTAGCGAGGGCCCTCAGCCTGTTGCTCTGTGATGTGCTGGATACACTGTAGCACTCTTGAAGTCTTACAGAGAGAAGCCAGGGGCTCCTGAGTAATAGGAGACAACAAGGAAACACTGGGGAAGTACATAAATGGAATTAATGTGTGTTCCTCTAAAAAGATGACATGGCTGAGAGCCCAGTTGAAGTGCCTCTACGCCAATGCACGCATCACGAGCAACAAACAGGAGGAGTTAGAAGCCACTGTGTTCTTAGAAAGCTATGACCTTAGAAAACTATGACCACAAAGTGCCATTACCGAAACTTGGTGGGATGAATCCCATTACTGGAGTGCTGCTGTTGATGGCTATAGGCTGATCAGAAGGCACAGGTGAGGAAGGAGGGATGGAGGGGTTGCTCTGTACATCAAGAATGGATTGTGAAGAGCTGTCTCTGAAGAATAACCATGAGCAGGTTGAAAGCTTATGGGTAGGAATTAGAGACCAAGGCAACAAAGGGAATGTTGTGGTTGGCGTTTATTACAGGTCATGCAATCAAGGGGAGCCTATTGACAAAACCTTCTTACTCCAGCTGCAGGAGGCATTGCGCTTGCAGGCTCTCGTCCTGCTGGGGGACTTCAACCACCCCGACATCTGCTGGAAAAGTAGCACGGCGAGCTGTAGGCAATCCAGGAGACTGCTGGATTGCATCGAGGACAACTTCTTAGTCCAGATAATAGACAGCCCTACCAGAGGGGGTGCATTACTGGACCTGTTGGTGACCAAGGCAAGTGAGCATATCACAGATGTCAAGATTGGAGGCAGACTGGGCTGCAGTGGTTATGCACTGGTAGAGTTCGAAGTCCTGACTGATATGGGCCAGGCAAAGAGTAAAGTCAGGACTCCGAATTTTAGGGAAGAAAACTTCCAGCCATTCAAGGAATTAGTCACTGGGATCCTCTGGGAAACTGCCGTCAGGAACAAGGGAGCAGATCTTTAAGGACACTTTCCATAGAGCGCGAGAACTCTTGATCCCTATGGGTGAGAAATCAGCAAAAGGACAGCAAGAGACTGGCATGGATGAGTCAAGACCTGCTGGTCAAACTAAAGAGCAAGAAGGAAATGCACAGGCAGTGGAAGCAGGGATAGGTATCCTGGAAAGAGTATAGGGATGTTACCTGGTTGTGGAGGGATAGAGTCAGGAAGGCCAAGGCCCAGCTGGAGCTGAACTTGGCAAAGGACACAAAGAATAATAAGAAGGGCTTCTATAGGTATGTCAGCCAGAAAAGGAAGGTCAAAGAAAGCGTACCCCCTGATGAACACGACTTGCAAATAGGTAATAACAGATGAGAAGGCTGAGGTATTCAACAACTTTTTTACCTCAGCCTTCACTGGCAATCTCTCTTCCCACACCTCTCAAGTGGATGAACCTCAAGGCAGGAACTGGGAGAGCAAAGTCCCTCCCACTGTAAGAGAAGATGAGATTCACCCGAGGAACCAGAACATCTAAAAGTCTATGGGACCTGACAAGATGCATCCCAGAGTCCTGAAGGAATTGGCTGATGTAGTTGCCACACACCT